AGAAGCCCTACTTAGGATCATGACCCAGGCTGTCAAAGATGTTGTAACTCAGGATCCGCGCGATCCCCTATCATAAATTGACCTGAGCCCGTCCGAATAGCTTCGAGAAACAGGTAAAGAACAACTGCTAGACCTACAGAAGACCTGCGCGCAACGAATCTCGCTAAGTTCCCTAAACCTGGCCTTTGGTTAGCTAGGACTGAAGGAATGGATCCTTATACTAGCCCCTCTATAACCCATTATAGTAATTTCCATCTTCTTTTCCATTCCTTCATTCCCAGCTAACCAAAGGCCAGTAAACAGCCGGCATGACATGTTTGGTTCATCCCCGTCGCTTCTGATTTTTCTTTGTGGCATCCTTTGGGGTAGGGTAAACCAGCACCCTAAACTCTAAACCACTATCCCAAACCCTCTACATCCCCAGTATACCCCCTACATAAGAGCTTCATTGGAGTCACCCTAAGCCCCAAACCCTTTCCTGTCGGTATGGGGAGGAGCCTTGAAGAAGCTGCTCTTCGTGCTCCAGCTCCATCTCGATCTTGCGGTTCACCTGCGTCTGGGAGGGATCTAAAAGACTGAGGTTTAGGCCCTAAACCCTAAACCCTAAACACTAAGGTTTAGGCTACATAAGGGTTTAGGTAGGGTAGTTTGGGGCTGAGAAGGGCATGGGGTAGCGTTCAAGAATACTGGGGCTCAGGGCTGAAAACGAATTTGTGTGGTTTAGGGCTGAAAAGGGTCTGGGACGGTTTCAAGTTCACAGAGTTTGGGATGAGTTAGGGTTCGCCGGATTCAGAGTGGCTCAGGGTTAGGGTCTGATCTGTTTAGTTTATTTTCTAAGTTTGCAGGGCTTGGTGTGGTGTAGGGTTTATAGGGTTTAAGGTTTGATGTTTAGGGTGTGTTTTTGCCATGGCCAGAAAACTTAAATAAACGTGATTGCTGACTAAAGCAAGGAATGGCAGCACCAGCAGCAAGTATGGTCCTAAACCCTACCTTAGACCCCAAAGACCTTCAGTTTTAGAAGTTTATAAAAGGAATTATACTATAGGGTCCTAAAACTGAAGGTCTTTTGGGTCTAAGGTAAGCCCTGAGCGGTAAGACGTTCCATGTCCACGCGGCTCTTTGCCGGATCCTTAAGCTGACACCCTTGCAGGCTGCGCCCATTAAGCCCAACCTATGAATAGAGCACCAAATCTTTCAATAGAATAGGTTTTAGGGTTTAGGGTACAAAGCCTAACAAACCAACCTGGAAACCACTCACCTTGAACTATGCACCCTCAACACACACCCTCAAGCCTGAACTCCAAACCCTAAACTCTGCATCCTAGCCCTGAAATCCTATCTTAAACCCTGAAACCCCTACCCTATATACCCCTACATCCCTTTATATACCCCATATACCCCGATGTACCCCCCTCAACCAAAGATCCCCAAAGCCAACGCTTACCAGGCCTCGCTCTTCTTGCTGAGCTCGCGGGATAAGGCTTTCCCCAAGGATGCCAGCTGGTGTTCCGCCTACCCAAAGGATTAGGATTGAGGGTTTATGGTATAGAGTTTAGGGCTTCGGGATCAGGGGTTTAGGGTTTGAGGCTGGTGTTCCCTCCACCCAGAGGATGCAGGCAGCGGCAGGAGCCACAGACATGGTTCCTTCTTGGGGACTATACTAAACTACACAAGAATGCAAGAGGGTTTCCAATGTCCACTGTTAAGGGTCCCTTTATGAGGCTCAAACTGACAGTAGCTCATCTGATATTTACTTCAGCCGTAAAGTAACCACATACGAGCCCCCCAAAAACCCTGAACCCCAAATCCTTCAATACTGTACCCTAAACCCCCTTCTGCACCCCAAGTAATTATGTACTTTGTAGGTACCTGGACCCTTTGGGCTGGCCAGGACAGACTCAGGGATGCTGAGTTGCAGATAGAACCAAGAATGTGGAGATCAAAAAGTAGAAGGGGAGTGGAGGGGTTCCCGTTCGAAGTGTACAGTCCCCCTTAAAGTACATAGAATATGGCTCTAGGTATATTTTAATAACATCCCCATATACCCCATCTTCTATCTACTTAAGGGGGACTGTATGTTGGGATGAATTTCAGAAGTTCGCACTTTCTCGTTTATTCACTGCCATGCCCTCGTGCTTATCCCGGGTTTTTGTGGATCATATGACCAAAGGTGGGTGCGTATTCTGCTTGCAGTGGTTACCAACATCCTCCACTTCTGATCCTAACCACCTGAATTTTGCAGGGGTACCGCATTTTGAGGCGTCACCATCGTGTCTAAGGTAAATGCAAGCATAAGCCTGGCAAGCCTGGAATGTTTCAGTGGCAAGCCTGAACTATCCTGAACTTGAAGGTCCATGAACATGATGCCCTCCTTATGACAGTACTTCTAACCCAACTGCGGACATATAAGGAGACCTCGGGGGAAGCTCCAAATGCCAGGCCGCAGATTTCCTTGATGCACCCGCAGCAATCAAACTTGCCAAGTCAATATGTAGAAGCCTGATCAATATCTTTATAACATTATTGGCAAATCTTGAGACGTGTCTACCATGAAAATTGCCCGTGCCTATGAACAAAATAGCGCAAAACATGATCTGAATGATATGTTTTTTCTGGGTACTCTGAAAATTCTCCACACAGCTTCCGGCGTTCAACGAGATCCCTGATCATGCATTGTGCTGCAGCTTTTTCTTCTTCTTCTTCTTCTTCTTCGGTTTCTTGTGCGTGGAACGTGTCTGCGATCATTGCCACTACTGCTATGGTTACCATGAAGTCTGCCGTGTTCTTCTGCATCTCGCAGCTGTTAGGACCTGCGACAAGAGAAAGCCATACTTAGAAGTGGATCAATTGGGATTTAGGGTTCAGGGCAACAAGTAGATGCAAGATGAATTCATTGCAATGGTGCTCAACTCAGATGCAATCGTGCAACTGCCTGCCAAAACTACAAAACCGCAAGAACAATGTATGGGCCATAGTCTAAACGCCAGAAACCCCCTGAATAACCCCTATAGTACTCGCCCATATAACCCCCTTTAAGAAGTTTAGATTATGGCTGATATATCGTTAGCCAGCAACTGCATTGAGCGTCTTCATCATCACAGCCGTCTCCAGGGATGCACTCACCCATCATCTTCGTCGTCGACCATGCAGCAGCAGGGCAAGAAATCAAGTTTACAGAGGTCTGCCAAACATAACTGTTCCGACAATCATAGCTATAATCATCGTCTGCACTCCAACCAAGACAACATTTTAGCTGATTCCTGCAGAAATGACAGGAAACTCAAGCCTTGACCCCTCACACCTCAAGACTACAATCTAATCTTATCTCCTAACTTTGAACCTTCAATCTTCAAACCAAAATCTCTCAACTCTCATGCTTTGTCAACACCCATTAATGGGTGGGGAATCTTTAACCCTAAATCCTAAATAGCCTAACCATAAAACCCTAAACCCCACACCCCAACCCTTAACACTATGCCTATTACTGGGTCTGGGATTGACCCCAGGATTGTAAGATTTCAAAGGGGAGTGAAACCTGTAATATTAAGGTTGTATTGAGGGTTGTATTGGGATAATGGAAAAGAAAATGGAAACTGTAGGGATTATAGGGATTATATAGGGTTTATATAGGAGTTATATACCCTATACTCTACACCCTAAACCCTATACCCTATACCCTAAACCCTATACCCTAAACCCTAAAGCCTATACCCTAAACCCTACACCCTATACCCTAAGCCCTAAATCCTAAACCCTAAGCCCTAAACCCTAAACCTTAAACTTGAGGGAGCACCCATGCGCTCAGATAGACACAGGCTTTGATTGGGGTACAGGCTGGCCATGCTAGCCCGTG